GGTGGGGTGGGGTGAGAAGCAGAAAAGGCTTTGACTCTGTGTCAGCACTGCTCAGCAATAATGAAAACATCCCTGTATTATCAACACTGTTTTCAGCACAAATCCAAAACATAGCCCCATGCTAGCTACTGTGGAGAAAATTAACTCCACCCCAGCCAAAACCAGCACACCGGGTGTTAACAGGGTAGTGACTCCAGCCCTACTGGAGTCTTACTTCTTGTGCTATGTGAAAAATCTCTAGCCTTGCATGTAAAGTCTCATACAACACACTTAAAGCATTGCTACAAAAGTCATTGACTGTTACATATGCCTACACACTAGTCACATCTCAGTTCGCAGAAAGATGTCTTCAACATTTCCTGCTTCCAATGCGTTGAGCTCATCACATAGCAGGGTTGATGACAGAAACAAGGGTGTGGATCTGAGACCTGTGATTATTAGCTGAGAGTGCTGGTGCAAAGCAAGGATTTTCTGGGGCTTGAAACCAAGGAGAAGAGAAGGCAGGAACTGAGGATAAGGAGGTCATGTCTGTGGTGCAGCTGAAGCAACAGGTGTAGTAATTGGTGGAGAACTCTGACTGGAAACCAATTCTCAGTATCTTCTTGTTGTCACTACAGCTATGAAACCCAGAGGGCCTATGGGGATTGCACTTTCCACTAATACCTGCAGAATGGAACAGGTCCAAAAGGCTTAGGTGCTGCAGGTGAAACAGGCTGGGGCCAACAAGGTCCCCTTTCAGTTTGTTTTTACCCAAAGCAATGCCAAAAAATGAAGACATTTCAGAAAAAAAAAAGATTCTGTTGGTAGATCATTATGGTTGCACAGCTGAGGCTGCAAACATTTGGAAAAGCTGTAGTCTGATCAGCCTTAACTCTCCCTCCTTTCTCTTCTCTTATTAATAAGCCTTACCGCATGACTCTAATTGTGGGAATTAGCTTATTTTTTCCCCGCAGGACTCATTAGCATTTATATTGAGTTTGCATCCAAAATGCCCCAGTTACACTAACTACTGCAAAAGCACATGAAGTAAGTGCTACCTATATATGTGAGAGGACAGAGCACAAAGAAATTACAGTGGGCATTTACAACATACAAGAAAATGATTCCTATGAGAACAGTTGCATGGCATATTTCTTTCATGACTCTCTTTTTAAACAATCAATGTTTTCTTCAAGACCTTCACTGGGGAGTAAGTGACATTGTAGTCCAGAAAGAAGAGGAAGAAAAGCAGGGGAGCCAAAAGCACGGAAAGGACTGGGACTGGCTGCTGCAGTATTGTATCAATAGCAGAGTAAAACAGTTAGGAGGAGGTCCAGATGTCACAGGGCAGACAGTAAATATGATTGGCTTTCAAATTTCAGAGCCCCCAAATGCTGGAGGCTGTCACATTTTCAGGCTATCAAATAAGTGGGGCAGATGTTACTGGGTTTGATCTCATCCCAGGCTTTTTTTTGCTTTCAGAAAGGAGCTTGAAAGCCCTGGAAAAAGCTGTAGTCTTGTTCACTGTAAGTTTCTTCTAAGCTACTGCCATTCTCAGTGCAGAACAGAAAAATAATGAATTTGCAAATAGCTTTAAACTGTCTTGGAGGCTCTCAAGGCATCCAAGGAAATGATCCACCAATGAAATAAAACTGCTGCATGTGTACTGTAGGAAAAAAATGTTTCCACTGGACAAACATATTTATTGTTTTAAAAATCCCATGTCCCCTACAACTGACACCCAATCAACAGCAATATAACGGCAAAAGAAAGAATCGCTAGCAAAATACCTTCTCCTGGCTACTACAGTTACATAAATAAATAGGTTAGCTATTGAATTGTGCTTTGGATAAAGGCAAGTCCAGGCTACAGGTTCTGGGAGAACACAAAGCATCTGTCTGTGTTATAAGCACTAATGAAGTGGAAGACATGGCCCACGACCCACCTCCCAAAGCTTAGGTCTTACTGTGGCCCAGCCTCCAATGAATGCAAGGATGCAGCATGGTTGTGGGGATGTGGTTAGGCCTGATGTCCATTACTACATGGGGGTCTGCTATCAGCTAGAATTGAGTGAGTCAGACTTAAAATAATCACAGAAGCTATTCAAACAAGCAGTCCCACCCCAAAGTGGTATATCTCTTCCCCAAAAGCAACAGCTTCTCTTTTGGAAGGATGCTTCACTGCTTCTTTATCACTCAGCTACCTCCTCTCCTGTCCTTGGTATGCCACAGATAGCTAGAAGCAAAGAGAGTCTCCCTACTCCCCCACATTTGATCATCCCTAATTACCTTCCCCAACCCATTAAACAAAATCCTTTCTTCGGAAACCTGGGGGTTTTGCTGTATCAGAATTGCTCCTCTATTTCTGACATGCACACACAGGCACACAAAATGTTCTTACATCATTAAGATGCAAAACACATTGTTCCTAAGCCAGTGTTTTCAAAAGCAGTGTTTCCAAAGCCCGCATTTCCTGAAGCCAGTGCTTCCTGTGGGCTCTCTAGAAAAAAAAGGTTTATGGAACTGATTTCTGCAAAGCCTGATGTTCCAGTCAGTCAGTTGTGTGTGACTATTGATACATATTCCTGGCTTAGAAGCCTTCACTGTGCCATGCTCTTGCTGCAGCCTCTGCACCACCAGTTGCCTCTCTCAAACCAGAACACGTCTCCCTCCTCCCCTCCTTGCAAAGTAACACAGCTGTAACTAACCCCAAGAGTTTCAGAACTGCCACATCTCAAGTGCTAGAACGAGCATAATCAGTCACATCCCATGAATATCCTAGCACTGTATTTCCCCTCCTATGTAAGGTGTTTAATGGTGAATTAATTTACTGACTAGGCAGTAAAGTACATATACATGGGGGTGTGTGTGTCAGTGTTAAGGGAAATCAGGGCAAGGTGGAGAAAGAGCAAAAGAGGAGGAAGGGAGGAGGATGACTGAAAAAATGACAAACCTGGGTCTGGTTTCTGCACAGGATTCCTTGTGCACCCAGCTGCCATATTCCCTGCTCCTCAGATCCCAGCTGTAAAGCGGGAAGCACACCTCAGCGAGGTGTTGCAAATATAAACACACTGGAAGCCTGTGTGAAGTTGCACACCTACGGCAGTAAGCCATGTAAACAGATCAGGTAGGAAGGAACAGTATCTGTTTCTGTAAAATAGGATAAAGCATAAGTACCGAACAGGGTGAGGCAGCCGGGGTGGGAAAACAGACCAGACAGGAACGGGGAGATTCCTACCAGGAATGAGATTCCTGGTTCATACAGGACTCTTGCCTGTTATTGTTTCCTTCTTTCCTAATCCGTGTTTGAAGCAGGAAGAGAGGGGAAATGGTATGTAATTCGGAACACAGTGCTAGACCCGGTCTTACCAAATCTGCCTTTGATAAACCTACTGAACTTTCTAAGTCTTCACTTCCTCACCACTTCCTCAGCCATGGATGGTATTTACCAGTGGTTCAGTGCTTCTTTCAGATGTCACACGGCAGGGTAAAACCCCTTCTCCTCCAACCATGTGGTGCTTGTAAGACTTCGCTAATCTGGCAGGTACATCTGCTAACATTTCCTTCACTTATTTGCCACCTCTTTCAGGCCAATCTTTATTTTCTTTTTGCTCACCCTCAGTAATATTCTACTTTACTTCTCCAGCCATGTCTTTCCTATTAAGGAGGAAATCTGAATTAATCCCCCCTCCTGGAAATCTACTGCTTTCAAAAACTGCTCATTTGCAGCAGGTTAACAATGACTGAATGGCAAGGCTTAGTCCTTGAAATTTGCCACTCAAACCGAAAGCAAAGATTTTGGATATTCACTGTGGCAAATAGCTAATATATAAAATGATGAGGAGATATGTGTGATATATAAAAGGATGCTAGATTAGGTTTCTGGAAGCAAATCCCAGGAAAGGCCTTTTCAATCATTGCACAAACTTTTTTGCTTTCCTCATCCTACACAAGCCAACGATTGGGAAACACCCATACCAAAGGAGACACCTAAAGCCAGACAATCATTAAGCATGACACTGGGCGTGCCTTCATTAGAGTGCTAGGTGCGTGACAGCCCCATTTAGAGAAAGATATAAGATAGCAGTTTATTTGTAAAACAGCGGAGCCCTCGCCACAGTCATTGTCTAATGCTTTCAAGAGGGATGGTCAGGTGAGCGCTCAGGCTCCAGAAGCAACCTTTCTCCATCCCCCTCTCACCATCACACCATGCTGTAAAGCCAGCCTTTTTCTAGTAGAAAGAAGACTTTCTACTAATGATCACATCAAGATCCAGAATTAGGACACTTTAAGACAGACAGTATGTTCCCAGTCAGAACAGGTATCGCAGACAGACAACTTTCAAGATTTGGGCTCTTTTGGCAAAAGCATACCTTTGGTTTTCTGGTTCATTCTTTAGGATGCCACACGCCAACTGTTCTACAAAATGTTCACATAAATGAGAAGCTTGAGAAAACAGTAACTAAACTCACTTGGATTTTAAGCAGTACAAGGCCGGAGAGCAGGCATCAGTAAAGTGCAGGCATCAGTTAAACCAACCTTGCAGTAATATAAACATCAAGAAAAGACAGCTTCCCCTGCCCACATTTTTTTGGTTGTACTTGTACAGCAATAAATCACACTTTGAAAACCACTCCACACACACTTTAAGTTGTGACAAAACAGCTTTCCACTAGTGATTGATACATTGCAAAGTCAACTCCACCATTGGTTACGCTTTAGAAGGAAACTACTACATTTCAGCGTGCATGTGTTTGTTGTGTTTGATATGAACTAGAGGCTAGTTAGTCCACAGGACCAACAGTATGTTGCGTGAGCATTTACAACTCTCACTGAAGTTTAGGATGATAGAAAAAAAAGCAGCTTCAGGTCCCAAGATTATAGAACTTAACACACAAGCCTAATCCATACAACCTGTTCAATGGAGATTAAGACCGCCATAAAACTAGCTTAATAAGTAATGTTGCAACTACCTATTTGTTTTCAATATTGAGGCAATTAGGGTAAACAATTAAACCTTACCTTCATTCCTTTAGTAATTCCATTTTTCTTATAGATTCCACTTTTTAAGAGGTTATTCTGTTTCTGATTATGATGATGATGTAGATGCCCATTGCAGACAGCACTGGGATTAGCCATCTGTTTAAATTAGTCAGATTCTCAGTTCTTAAGGATGTCTCAGGTCTTTCTACTGTAAAAAAGACAGTAGGACAAGCAGATAAAGTTCTTCGTTAAGGCCTAAAAGGTATCCAACTGGTCTGTCAGGATTTTCCGGGATGAGAGGAGGAACTATCTTTTGCAATATCTTAGAAACGTAAAACTGTTTCTTTCATACACCTTCAGCCCCAGCAAGCTAGAACGCGAAATACATAGCAGGAGGTGTGCTCTTAAAATCTCTGAAAAATACTGCTCATTGCCGGCTATTGTATGAGCACAGCTTCTATGAGTCAACAAGACTGCTGCAGCTATCAAGTGGGTGGATTCAGAGGCGGAGACACTTAAAGATGTATTACCTCTTAAATATCTCCCAGTGAGGAACATTACATTTTTTTCTCATGATTACACTCAACGTAAAGCTACATTACTTCATTTAGGGTAGAGTAATAAAATGTTTTGAAAATTTAAACAGAGTAATCTTTAAAATTACATGGTTCATCTTGCTAAGAGTATATTGGTTGAAAAAAAGTGGTATGTCTCTGAGTAGAACAGAACATTTTTTTTTTCTTTTTTTTTAGTCTCTTCTTATATAGGTAGTATCATAGACACAACATTAACCTTGCAAGGAAACGGAAAGCATTTTAGTATTAAAATGAAATTTTATCTAGAGCTAGAAATAATATATTTGGCCCTACCCTACAGATGTGTGCACAGGTGTTTACTGGACTGAACTGTCCTTTTAAACTCAGTTTGGCCAGTAATGGGATAAATGGCATGCTGTTATAACTAATGAGAAATGGAGTTTTATAAAGTTGATTAATTTAGTTTTAAAACAAGTCAGGCTTTAATCACATGTGAAACTACTAAACAGGGCTAACATACATCCTTGCTTTTAAGACAAGAGTTTGTTGATTGTCGAAATACTCGCATATATTGTCTTTGCTGAACCAAATTCTCATGTTTCAGATTTTAGTGGCAAAACATAAAAGTATAAACATCTCTGGCAGCATTTGATAGAATTCCTTCCTCCCAAAATAATTAAAATTAGTGTGGAGACAGATTAAAGGAAAGCTGTATTATAATATCCATTTTGAAAACACTAAGGATGAAAGGCCGGGAGAATAAAAATACTTGGAGTGTTTTAATTAGAAAAAATTACTATCTCATCTTGGCAATGAAATGTAAGTGATATACCGAAAAAGCAGCCTACAACTTGAGTATGTGGAATGCAGGAGATTAAATGTTAAATGAACCACTTTGAAAATATACAGGGAAACACACTGCACTGGTTTTGAAAACTTGTCTTAGATATGTATTGAATTGCTAAAATGTATTTTCTCCTTTGAAGTGATTTGCAAATTGGGATATCCTCAATGTGTTGGAAAACTTTTTGTCCCTACCTAAGAGAGACCTGAACTGAACTGTGTTTAAAAGAAATATCTGTGCATCTTTCCTTCTGCATTTCATCTCATTTCTGCAGACCACTGGGTGGTATGAGACTTCCATTAAGATCTGTAGAAAACCTCCATGATACACTATAGAGCAGCACAACTGAAAAAGCAGTCTATCTCTAACTAGGTTTGATTTTTATATCCTTGGAAAGAAGACTTCTACATACATATTCCAATTAATAACACAGTAGCAGTTTTGGTCAAGAAAATATCTCCTTAACTGATTAAAATGACACAGAAACAGTAAAACACCAACATTTTTTGCTTCACAATTACACCAGATTCACCATCAGAACGCAGATTTCCTAGGTTTTGTCTTTTTGGTGTTTTTCCTAGGCAAGAATGCCTCATTTCTGTATGAACCAGTCTTTTTTAGGCTTCATTAAGGCATCTGTAAGGATAACTCAGTTACAGATTAATTGTGAATACATAGTGATAAGATAAATTGTTGGTCATGGTAAGTGGTTAGGAGTTCATATTTGCGAGGAAAAGACTGAGATGAGGACAAGCCAGAAGTAGGCAGAAAGAATGGTCAGTAATACTTCCCTGCATATCTATCACCTATGGTATTGTGATAAATGGAACAAGATAATGTAGAGCATGCTCTCTGCACCTGGCAACCCCCTCCCACCAAGAAGCATTCTTCATTTGGGAATTATTTCCTTGATTGTCACAGCAAGTCAAACATCCGTAAAACATGCCATCTGCTCAGTGAGTTGCTGATCATCTTAACTCTGTTGTGATAAAGGCAAGACAAGAAAACTTACCAGAGTAGCGTTCTTCCCCTTAACAGCTTCCAGTGTCTCAGCTAGCACCTCTGCCAGCTACGTTTCCCAACAGGCTCATCACCTTCCAGGGCACAAAGTGATATAATTAACATTTCATGTGTGTCTTATTCTTTTTTTTCAATTAGGTTTATTGGGGAGTGGAATCTCTGATTAGATAACAGTTCAGATGATGCAAATTCTTCCTCTAGTCCCAGGCTGTAAGTTTACGCTTACCTGTTTCAAGGCCCATGAAATACCAGTGCCCTTATATGAATAAAATAGTGAATTAAATATGCTATATTAATTTTAGTTTTCAATATCTCTAACATTTAAGATCACAAACAAGCAGCACTTAAAAAAAAAGGTTACATTTAAATAAGAATTTAAATAAGCAATTTTAAAAACTTCAGAGAACAGCTGTCCTTTCGGATTTCTTTTAACCATGCTCTGAAAGCCAGAGCTCACAAAACAAATACCGCTAGGGGCTGAGTAAAATTCCTGCCCTGATTCCATTCAGAGCAAATGATTTATAGAAGGCATGAGTCCGGCCAAATACACACAGATGATCTGTAAACAGGATGTGGTATTTCTCTTGCAGAAAAGAAAACCTGTTGAATCGTGCCCTTCAGAACTCCATCTTACTCAAAGCCATCTGTTACTCAGGCTTCTATATCCATATCTATCATCCTACCAATTAGCTGCATCTAAAACTATTACTCAAAAATATGAGAGTCTATGCTGCCTGGACACTGGAGGAAGGGCCCAATAATTATGTACTTTGTAACACCAAAACCACCACCAGCAATACCCTGTCTCTTTTTACCGTTCTGGGAAGTGGGAGGAAAAAATTTACTATGCTGACTGTACAAGAACTGTGTGTATTTAACTGCAGGGGACCCCAATCCTACTAAGATTCTATGTGCGCTTCACTTTAGTGGCTTGGGTACTGGTCAGAAGTAACAAAGTTGCCCTTCGTACACTGGCAAGAAGATGGTGAATTTCTAACGTTACTAGAAGACCACGCTCCATGTCTACATAGATGCCAGTAAAGTTTGTAACACGTGGCTACAATTACTATAAATCTGTAGGAAAACCACCAATGAATTCCCAGGATCTAGGTTTTACTCCTTGCTTTGTCATTATCGTGTTAACGCCATTGGGTCTTTGATGACTCACCTCCTGAAATCAGGATAAAACTGTTTAAATCCTTTGTAAATGCTCTGAGAAAAATTGCTGAGGAGTGTGGTGCAAAAGTGAAGTAAAATATGTACAGTTAGTTAGCCGAGGTTTAACAACAGACCAGAGAGAAAGGGGAGGGGTAGGGCTCTGTCTAAGCTGTCTCTCAGTATTTGAAGAAAATCTCTTTTCTGCTATGCACTACCACTGTTACACAGCATAGGTTAAAAGGTTGACCTCTGCTGATGCAGTCAAGAAATGGGGACAAAATCATCTAACCTTTCATTAGACTTTTGGCCCAGTGAGACCGTTTAGTGTCATTAGAGTGGCCACAGGGTCCCCATTTATAATAGCACTACTGGATTACCTACCAATAAAAAAAGTACATGTTGCAAGAAAGTGTGAGAGCTGATCCCCAGAAAAGCTTAATGTCATAAACCAGGATTTCCACAGGATTCCTGCTCATCCCAGAGAACAGTTAATTACGGCATAATTGTGAAATGGTCTTGCAATCTAGTTGCAAGATCTTGATAATTTCAGTTCATGACAGATGCAAATTTACATGCCACATGAAACAATAAGGATCTACACAAAGACATCTACTAGCTTTGTGCTTATTTTCACTGGACAGACACAAATGTCAAACAGGAGCTGAAAAAACTGGGAGCATGACTCTATTCCTTTGTTAAAAGTCATGGTTCCAATAATATTTAAATTAGCTGCAGATCATGCCCCAGTAGTGGAGTACATGGTTAAAAAGGCTTCTTGCTCTCCCAATCACTTCTCTTACAACAGCAGTCCACCTTATAAATTCCGTGTACCACTGATGACTTATTGTCTGATTAGGATCCCAGTATGTTTGGTACCTGTGGACACATGGATATCGGAAACAATTCCTGCCTCAGATACGTAAATCACTTATGATGTAGCAACACCAGTGAGGCTGAAATAAATGAACAAATAGGGAGACACCATAACAATAAAGCAACATAAGCAACAGCATGTACCAGGTACCAGCCAGTCAGTCATCTCCCTGGGTGTCTTTCCAGATTCATCCAGACTTCACCAGCACTGGCTGTAGGTGAAACTTCCTAAACGTTCACATGGAAGAACCCCTAATCCACGTTTGCTGCTTTAAAACCTTATCTAGCCAATATATATGTGGCCATGAGCAGGGATCTCGCTCTACACTTGGGCTTAAAACTGCACACCAATGCTGATGGTTTCCTTCAAGTGCCCTTGCACAACTGCCCCTTGAAGGATATACAAAATGCTTTGAAATTGGTCAGGAAATAATCCTAGAGCATCTCAGAACCAAGACCCATGGCATAGGTGGATGCACGCAATGAGCATTGCAACAGAGGGGACGTGGTACAACAGGCAGGGCTCCTCCAACTCTGGCAGGTCCATGCATCATCTGCAGAGCCCTGGGGCTGGCATGGCTGCCTTTTTTCACCTCTGCAGTCTGGGAGCTGGAGGGGAGAGAAGGGCACAAACAGGCCTTGCAGGGGTGAGGTAGAGGGGGCTGTATACTCTGAGTTACATCAGGTATTAGTGCCTGGGAAGATCAACCACAGGGAAGTTTTGCACATTTTACAGCTTTGCTGGGTTGTATGAATTTCTAGGAGAGAAGCTGTGAGAACAGGAAGGTCCTGCCAACAAGGTAGTCTTGCACCACTTAAAAAAATAATTTTCCTTGAATTCACTGCAAAATGCTCACTCTGGCAGGAAAAGCACAGCCAGAGGTGTAGGCACAGGTGCAAGAAGCCATATCCAGCTGTGAAAGCCGAGCTAGCCCTAGGAACCAAGAGCCAGGGGAGCAAGCAAGGACTTGGAGGGTGCAATCTGACACGCTTACAGCTGCTGCACCGCAGCCTGTTGCACCCAACTGTTGAACAGACAGATTGGACTTATACAGTCACTCAATTGCTCGTTATGAAAACCCTCCTGGGTGAAACAAGAATAGCAGTTTAGCAATTTTGTCCTGTCAGCATGTACAAATGACTACTATGTGCTAGGAAGCACCTTTTTTTTTTTCCCTGCTTACGTAAACTTATTTAACTTTTGCTCTACAAATGCGTATCAAGTCTTGATGAGTTTTCCTCAACATTGCTCCTGTTCTAAGGGACATGGAGGTTGCTATTCTGCTTGCAGAGGTCCCTCCTCCACACCTCAGACTGCAACTAAATCTTGAAAGGGATGGAGGCTTCTTTAAGGGCTAGTGGATGGAGAAGTGTTGCTTCATAGCTTGAAATGTGACTCCAAGGCTTCTGAACTGCATTGGTTTTCCCTAAGAGATATTTTTAGAAAATTCACTCTGGCTTATGAACTACCAGTGTGCAAGAACTTCTTAGGGATCACCGATATACGTACCTAAGGAAAGAAAGCCTATTGTGCAAACTTGCAGTCTTTACACATGGATCCACACATTTGAGGGGGTCTACAAAAGATTGAAAATTTCGTTTGGTACACTATGAAACTACAGCACTCCATGCAACTGTCTTGCATCGAAAAAACTTCAACTGATTTCTCCCCCGCCACAAATGGGCCTTGAAAATTTGTTGTTATTTAGTATAGAAACAGCCCAGATGGATTTGTTGATTTTGAATCACAGAGGTGGGACATCACTAACCTACTTTCAGGCTCAAGGAGTGGCACAATAGCATGATTCTGTGGGAAGTCACATGCACACAAGTGCACGAAGAGAGCACTGCCACAAAGAAAATACAAAATTCCACATTTTTTCAAGCAGTTGGCATTTTCTGCCCCCTCCCTCCCATTTGATCCCCTGTCTCTAAAAGGAAAAAACAAGGCTATAAGCCCCCCAAAATCCAGCTCTGGGTAGTCCAGAACAGGTGTCACCTTTGAAACTTGACACACCTCATTAATCCTCTCCAGTTCCTTCTTTGATAGACGGCCCAAGGGAAGCTCTTGGGAAACAGCACGAAGCAGGCAGAGACTTGATCTTTTGCATTTTCCATCTGAATTTCATCTGTATTGCTTTATCATCACAATCTATTGTTTCTCTATTCCCTTCCTTTCAACAGATTTTTGTGGATAGGCTTCTCAGTAACGCACAATGAGTTTTTGGCCTTCATCCATCCTGCTTGCCCACAAAATCGTCAGTGGGCTCAGAAAAAACCCTACAAACACACACAGAGTAGCCACTGAAAATTTTGAGAATTCATATTGAATGGCACTAATAAAAACGTTTGCATGGGTGTAAGGAAGAGAAGAGATTTCCAGTTATGATCACAGGCTAGCAGCAAAGCAGTGATATATATGAGTATTTATCGGGAATCAAAGGTTTACTTTGATGTGAGTAAAGTCACTGAAAACTACAGTACACAGGCATAAATCAATACACCCATTGAAAAGACGTGGAGAACTAGGCGCCCTGTATGAACACTTGTTAGACCACCCAGGCTGGCAGTTCCATATGCCTTCAAAAACTTTCCTTTAGGCTTATAACTCCTATGAAGACAGGGGTGAATTCAGTTTAACAGTTTGATTACACCAACTATGTTCATGAAGGGATCAGAAAATGTTTTAAAAACAAATGACCCTTCTTATCTCAGAAACTGTTGGCTTAAGGGACTGAAGAGAAGTACCAGTGAAAGAAAAGAGTTTTTGACAAAACCGCTGCTGAGGGATGAAGTGCTAGTAATTTAGGTGAAGATATGTTTCTACTAATTGTTCACTTTGAGGAGGAAGAAGAGAAAGTTTCCTCACACCTACATGAAAGTACATGTTGTCAAAGGGAAGCTCAAATATTGCTGACTAGGGCAGATGCTCTATTTATGCTGCTTGCACACCCCTGGCACAGAACATGTTCTGAATTTGGCTTCCTATAAGCTCTGTGTCTTTCGTTTCAAATTTGTTGTAGGCT